TGTGTGTGTGTGTGTGTGTGTGTGTGTGTGTGTGTGTGTGTGTGTGTGTGTGTGTGTGTGTGTAATGTACGTGTGTATATATGAATGTATGTGCATATGTGTGTATGTGTGTATTTTACGTATGTATATGTATGTATGTATGTGTATGTATGTATATGCATGTATGTATATGTCTATGTATGTGTGTATACGTGTATTTATGTATGTATGTATGTATGTGTGTATGTATGTGAAACCCATTTTCAAATTTTCTAAACTACGCGACCGGAAAAGCAAAAGAACTGAAATCCTGCGGAACTATTCATTTGTCTTGTAACAGCGCATAGCCTTAATATCAGTCGAGCTATGTCTCAGCCGCATGCACCCAGATTTACTTCTAAAATCTGTATGTAGTTCTAGCTTCCGTGGACGAAATTGTTCGAAAGAAAAGAAAAAGCTCATGCTCGCAAATGTTAACTGGTGCGCACACAGCTCAATGAATTCTTTCAGAGTAAAACCATTCAGAAATCACTGCCATAAGACATTAAAAAATGCTGATTATAATTTTGCTGTACTGACGATTATCACTCTCACTCGTGCCCATTACTTTTTATGTGTTTACAGCTAAGGGATGAAATACTGACTGCACACTACATGCCGCAACTTCGCCTTTGCTGTTCTTATATTGCACAAACTTATACATCGCAGGGATGAAACAAGTTACTGTACATACAGGCTTACTTATTTGGAAGATCTAAATGGCACTTTCAGTATTTTTATTAATTATCAAAATGCGACTATGTTCTTCTCCACGATGGGCCAATAACTCCAAACAAACTGCATATGTTAACATGTAGAAGATTTCAGACCTCCGTTTTCTTCCAGTCCCCTAGCCAGCGATGCTCACTGTTTGTATCTTTAAAATTTCTACAACACTATAGCATTTAGAGATCGTTTTCGCATGGCGAGCAAAAAAACTTCATGAAAATCCTTCTATTCTTCTATTTCTACAGTTGTGCCAGTATCAAAAATATGAAAACTGCCCGAGTAATTTGTGTAGGAATCTCATGTTAGTAAAATATTAAGAATGTAAATTTGTGAGCAAACATTTCACGGTTATTGCATATTATTCCGTCGCAAACGCAGTGTAAGCCGACAGTGGTTTCTTGCTACTGTGCGTTCACTCAGACAAAGCGTGATGCAGCACTGTCCACAACGAGTTCCTCATTTATGCAAAAAACGCATAAAAAACTGCAATGTAACCTTCTTGGCGATTTCGCGACTCTGCGCTGCCAGCTCCTCGTCCGTAAAATGTTTGCCGAGCTCAGTGATTTCCTTTCTCAGGCGTTTCTTCGCAGCTTGGACGTCATCACTCATTGCGTGATGGTTCCGTGCTATTGCTGCTTTTTCCAGTAAATTAATTTTAGCACAAGTCAGTAATGTTTGCAGCAATCAGCGAATCTGTATATCCCGTCCCAGAATTAATGCTGAGGTCACAATCAAATACTTTTCTCAGTAATCTGAAGATTAATTTGCTTTTGATCTAGAACTAGTTCGGATCTTTTCAAAATCTAATTATGCGTTTTGTGCTGAGTAACAGTTGCATAAAAGGCATACTGTCACGTCCCAATGTGTGTGTGTGTGTGTGTGTGTGTGTATGGATGTGAACGTACGTGCGTACCTGTGTGTGTGTGTGTATTTTGTTCTCGCTTTTCAGTTCGAAAGCCACAGAAGCTAGGAAGCTGAAATTTTGGGAGAATGTACCTCCTCGCGTGTGACAGCAAATTTAAATTCAGCTCACGTACATCACGTGAATGTTCTAGCGTCAAAACTAATAACCCAGGAACCACAAAAGTTAGGAAGCTGGAACCACTTCTAAATTAGTTGGTGAGGAAACCAGTCGACTGAGACTGTAAAATTGATAATTTTATAATGCAAGAGTGTCTCTGAGAATAGTTTGTGATAAACCCCAAATTTACTTTATTTTCCGATACAAAATGAAGAAAAAATCTGGTCGAGAATTTGTTCGGTAACAACCGCCCCTGACACTTCGCCAACTGCATCGGTCGCATCACGCAGCAATTCGGCAATTACCGCCGCATCGTTCACCTTCGCTGTCTGTAAAAGT